TTTAAGATTAAAACCGTTCCCCCTTGTCCCACGGCTCCCCTCCCTGATCCAGAGACCCCCCAGCTCTCCTGGAGCCCCTTTAGGCACTGGAAGGGGCTCTGAGGTCTCCCCTTTTTGGCCTTCTCTTCTCCAGGCTGAACCCCCCCAACTCTCCCAGCCTGTCCTCCCAGCAGAGGGGCTCCAGCCCTCCCAGCATCTCCGGGGCCTCCTCTGGCCCCGCTCCAACAGGTCCCTGAATCACCTTCACAGAGCTGAAGGTGTTGGGCACCTGCACTGAAGGGATTGCAAATGACAAAGCACTGTTTTCAAGCGAATGTGAGGGAAGCCTGACACTCCAGGAGTGAAATGTGCTGCTGAACTTGACATTCGGCAGTTCCTGACACCACCCTGACCTGCGGGGAATTTGCAGGCGCCTCCTGGGCACCGCGGCGGCCTCTGGAACACCTCTGCCACAGGAGCGGCCGATGGGGCAAAGCATCAGCCCGACTCGAGTATCAGCTGCATCTGAAGTATGAGCTGATAAAGAACAGCCATCGGGTATCTTAAGCCCAAACTACTGCAGGTCCTCATTTTAGGATACATACAATCGCCATTGAGTTCAGCTCTGCTGGAAGATAAATTTTAAGTATGTAAGTTTTAGCTACAAAGTATTTTCATCAATAGCGATAGATCCGCAGTATTTTTCCGGGTATGCAAACCCCTACCCTCTGCTTTTCCCTGTACTCTTGTGTAAGCTGAATCTTGGAAATGGATCCAATAATTTGTGTTGTTTTTATAGAGTTCATTGCCTGATGCAATCCCACATTCTGTGAATGAAATTGTAGGGATACGCTTGCAGTCTGCTCTGTAATTGAGTTCATCCTCCAGGCACAACCTTTATCTAAGACATCTTAAAGGGTGCATCTTTTTGACTCATGGAACAAGCTCTGTGGCGTGACACCGTACAGCGCTTGCCTTCCTCTGCGGGACGAGCGGGGAACGCTTGGGATGCCCAGCTGCTCTCCCCAGCGTTAACCATCTCCATTGGAAAGCCTCTTCGCCCCCGATGGAACCAAAGCTCTTCATCCCGCACGCAGTAGCACAATGGAAAGTTCACTCTGATTTAGAAATGACTGACTCCCAATTTTAACAGACTGGTTTTTTGTCTGCTAGGGCAGTGCTCTGTGCTACCAAACATACCAGGTTAATCGTCACGATTATATCGGTAAATCTGTGGAGTCAGAGCATCTGAATGCTTAGTTGCTCGGTGGCATTTACCTGGCTCTTAGAGAGCTGTACTTGTCACGCTGACCATCGGTCACCATCGGCCGCCCATCACCAGCAACAACACCGACAAGAGCCTGGCTGTAAGGGGCTTCCAATGCTGCTGGGTTCCAAGCGAAAGCAGCGTGAGCACGCGTGAGTGGGGATGGAAAACCACGTAATCCTCATTAGAAATCTACTCAGCAGCAAAAACGCAGCAATCCATTTCTAGAGAAATTCTGGAGCGCCATTGATTTGCATCACTGAGTAGAAAAGTAATGATGCAATTGAGAAATGCTCAGACTAATAATAATTACTGAAATAAGCCATTTATAAAGCTCCTGCATGTGACTTAAGGGAGGTGGCACGGACGCAGGAACTTTTACTCCACTAGACTGTATCTAAAGCGAGTGTAACATTCCTATAAAAATGGAAATGCACGCAGAGGGTAAGCGGCAGAGTCTCCCTGTCATCCTCCAGGCTACTGAAACAGAGCAGGAAGATTTCCTGGGAGAGGTAGTGGAGAAGACACAATTATTTATTTAAAAAAAAAAAAAAAAACAAAAACAAATAATCCTGTGTTAATTTCCCAAGCCTTCTAATTGCTTTCTACAGATTTAGATGAAAAGTTAAACTCCAGACAGCGACCAGAGATGTGGACTCCAGCACACTGCCCAGCGCTGTGCCACGGAACGGGGCACCCCCAGGCGCCGTGGGCAGGGGCGGCGCGCTCCTCTACCAGAGATGCTGTACATACGTGTCACACACCATGCACACCGCAAAGTTTAGTTCAATTTTATTTTCCACTGTAACGGTTTTCGAATGATACATCATGCAGTCTGCCAGTGTATCCATCCATCTCTGATAGAATTTTAGAACGAAGATAAAAGACTTATCTCCACGGGATGGGGGAAGGAGGGTGAGATCTGCTATCAAGAGTTTAATACATTTCAGCATCATTTGATGCAATGGCAAAAAATTTCCCCTTGTTACCAGCAAAACGTGTCCACAATTTATTTTTTCCTAAATTGAACACTACTGTAAAGATACATAGAGCCCAGAGAATACACATCTGCAGTACACGTTACACACTTTACAAACTAGACATGTATAATTCTACAGAATGCCTCAACCCCCGGGGTTCTCCCACAACGAAAAGTGTTTCAATGGACAAGATTGTGAGAGCGAGAGAGGAACGGGTGGAGCGGTGTTCCATCCTGCACAGCGGATGTTCTCCAGTGCACTTCGCCCTTCATACAGGCACAGTGAAGACGAAAATCAAAGCAAGGGTAGATTAAGATTATCCTGCCAATTTATTTTTGGATTCCTTCCATTTCCAATGGAGATGTGCTTCATTCACGTTTACACAAAGTCTTTCTCCTCCAATACAGGAAATTTGCTTAGGCCTTTTCCTTTTGGACCTGCACGACCATTTGGTTTAAATACCCATTTATTCAAATGAAACAATGTGCAGCTTAAAATTCTTCATTTCTTCTATTTCCAAGCCTTATTTATCAAAATTACAGGCAAATGTGCATCTTAGTCCATTAGGCTTTATAAAACGGAATTTAAAAGTTACTCATAAGGTTCTGTAGGCAGAAATTATTGTAGTGAAGTTTTTTGTGACTTATTTTTTAGTTTTCAATATATTCAGGATAATCTGCTCTCACCCTCGTTGAGTTAAATACAAACTTAAAAATGCATCAGCCGAGATCTTTCCAGGTTTAAAACTTTCCTTGCTTTTGGGAAAACAAGTCGATGAAACGTGAACTCAAGGACAAACACAAGATATTTGAACATATCATTAAGAGAAGCTCAAGTGAGCAGGAAATACTTTTTAATTACTAGCAAAAAGAACAATATGCACTTTAGTTCCATCTGAAGTACACTTTCCATTTGTGAACAGTATTTCCACCAAAATTTGTCCCATGCATGACATTTTAAGATGTGAAATTTAATTTGCGCTATACAAATCACAACTTTAAAATTAGCCTAGAATAAATATAACACAACATTCAAAGAGCAAAGAAAGTAAGATAGCATCAAGTAGTGGAAATAGCAGGAGACAGGTTTTGATCTCTGCAGAGCAGACGTGTGGTTTTCATTTCTATATATAAAATGTGTAAGACTTAAAAATGGTACAAAAGTTGAATATACAATACGCAATACAACCTTAAGTTGCCTAATTAAAATAGGCTTACAAAACAAGAATCTATACATAAGCAGAGTAAGTTCAATTGACAGAATTCACAATTTCCAATTGAGTAAATACCCTCTGTATTTCTTTTTGAGAATTTCAGCCTAAGGCATCTTTTCAGCATTTCAGTTACAGAAAGTCCTCCTACAGCCTTGACGTAAAAGTTAACTTGGAGATACTTACATTGTTTTAGCTAGATGAACTGACTGGCTGATCAGCACTAGCCCAATTAAGAGATGTCAAAGCTAACTTATTACTCAAGCTGGAGAAAGCTCTCTAAACTGCCGTATGTAACTAACGGTGATGCTGTGAGGAACTCAATACAGTTTTTAAGCCAATGCTGCATCTACGATATACTTCCATACTGAACTTTGAATTTGAGAGACAGAACAAAAGTTTTACTACAGTACAAAATCTTTGACAGCAATTAAGTTTGGTATCTTTTCCAAGACAACTGTTTTAGAACCAAAACAAGAGGATGATTCGTTCATAGTAGAAACTGCAGCTCTGAACAGCTGATAGGATAGCACAGAGTAGCTCTGAATTAGTAATTTTATTAAAGATTGCATATGGCAAGTTCACAGTTCATTTTTTTCTGGCAGTGCACATGCACATAAAGAAAGAAAATATAAAACTTTGAAAAATACAAAATAAATTAAATACATGCAAATTTGCAACGCCATTAAATATTTTTAGCAAAATGCTCCCCAAAATAGTGCAACATTAAAAAAAAACCCAACAAAACAGTTAAATTAAGTCCAACTTACTTTGCAACAACCTAAATAATTTCAGTAGAAAAACATATCTTAAGTCAATTCACAATCTTTCAAAACGCTCTACTTTAAACTAGATAGTTCTACGCCTACTAACAAAGACATTCAGAAATTAAAAAAAAAAAAAAAACAATCTCAAATTAAATAAGAGCAAACGTCTGCAAAACAAGTCTAGAGGGCTATGCTCGGCCGTAACCTTCCTGGAACCCACGCTTCGTTGAGATGTAGGGTTGCGTGCTCTGCACATCTGCAGGAGGGAGGATATGTGTGTGTGGCACAGAAGCCGGAGGAGGAGCAGGAGCCTCTGCCTGCCAGCGGAACCTTCCCAGAACGATTCCAGTGCCCCCTTGCTGAGAAGATGGAAACTTTCTGTCTGACACGAAAGAGAGATCCAAGAAAGGCAAGCAGTCTCATCCTTACCTCCGTGCGCACAAGCGTACCACCCGTGGGACGACTTGCTTCTTGTAACTTATAATGACATTCTTTTCACCTTGCAATATGCTCTTCACCTCCTAACAAACGTATTCCCAAATTTGGTCTGCAAAGGACAGCTCAAGTATACAACTCTCACCTCCTTTTGGACTCTCTCTATATAATCGTTTTCAAGGTAGGGTCTGGGGTTTGGGGGACTATTTTTTTTGTTTGTTTCTTTAAGGTAGCGTCTGTTCTGGTAGGGGACTGTTCACTCCGGTACCTGAATTCCCGGTACCTAAATTCCCCGATCTGCTCAATCGGGGCTTGCCGAAGGCATGCGGGAAGGGGAAGAGAGGGGACGTTTGTCGGCTTTTCCAAGACAAGATTTCCACAGCATTCTGAAAGCCTTCAAAATTTCATAGAGAACAACGCTTACAAACACACGGCTAGCCATCACACTCCAGGAAAACCCACCACTGTAGGGAGAACTACAAGCAGATCAGATCTTAATTTTAAGATAGGTCACACAGATATATTCATGTAACTACCAAACTTCAAAACCTAGACCTATACTAACAGATTTCTCTGCATCCCGTCTGATCTTTACCAGGTACTGCAATAAAAGTTATTTTATACAGTCCAAAGATTTTATCAGGATATTACAAATGGTTCTTTGGGGAAATTTACTTCTGAAAATGTAAGCAGTAAAATTAAACCATATAGCAGCACATTTTCATCCCCTAAAAATATAAAATAATATGTATATTATACAGTAAATCAGTCATGACAGAGCACAATCACCTGCCTTTGATGGCACTTGGTCATTGAATAATTAATTCTCTGATGCCAGAAGTCGGGATTTACTGCTGCAACAGAGGACTTCGAAAAAGCATCAATCTGAGTGTCGAAGCCCCAACCTAACCAGCGCCAAGGGGTCAAACGCAGTCAGTGAGAGATTCTGAGTGGCAGACTTCCTATCGTTACTTAGATGGTTATGTTAAATACATTGTACAAGTATCTGTAGAAGAGTTGAGCTGAACACTTCTGTACACGTGGAGATCCTACGAAGCTCAAAATACCTGGGACCAGTGCATTGCAGATGGCTGTAGGACGCGCAGGATGAACAGGATGTGGATCCGGTCGAAGAGGGGGGAAGAAAAGAAGCTAGTGACTTAATGACAGTCCTTAGCATGCTAAGTGGAACTGACCTGTCAAAAGAGAGCAAGAAAGGTAATGATAATTAGCAGACGTTTGAGATTAGAAAGCAGATACACAACCTGGCAAATCAACTGATACCTACACTTCACCAAAACATGATGCACAGCAGCCAAAGAGCCACCGTACAGCGAGGAAACGAGAGTCAAGTAAAGCACAATTTTAACAATTCATGAAATTAGGGTTTCATTTACAAAGTCTTGGAAAGGAATTTTCTCAGCCTGTGTCTCTCCAGCCCACAAATTGGCACAGTCATCATGAAACAATTCTCTTGATGAAATTCATTCTTTGCCACCTGTGGCATAGTGTTACACCTTGCGTAAATACATCCTTAAACACTATCTAATGGTCTAACTTTTTTTTTCCTTTTACCTCTCTGTTCTTTTAATAGGATTTTTCTCTCCACTGGTCGGCACTCGGATATGCTGAAGAGCAGATGTGTGCGTATCTTATACAAGTAAGGAAAGTAACTGCACTTGAGTTTGAAAACTTATTATAAAACAAAAGGCTGAAAAATACAAATCCCAAACAATCCTTCTCCTTTATTCTCTCTCCTGACAGAGAGGTGCTTTCCTTACATATATATATACATACACAAAATATGTGTTTACAGAAATATATAAAAATATTTTATATAATATCCTGGTAATCTATTATGAAATTATACCATATAATTTTATATAACACATATGCATATTATACAGGCATCTTTCTCACTAATTTAATAGTAATCACATCCCGAACCAAAGTTCAAGGCACATTACCAAGCACAAAGGTGATTTAAAGTTGATTATAAAACATTTGAAATACAGACCTTTAAAAACTCCTGGGTTTGAATTTTTCCCCCTACGTTTCTCGTTAGCCATATGGAAAGCACCACATAAGTAACTGAATGTGCCTAGCACATTTTTTAGCACATTAGCTAATACAAAATCAGCCTTACAGGGAGAGACGTGTTTTCCTCAATTAAGCATTTTCTTGTTTAGTTATTTAAAAAAACCTTGTCCACATTCAAGATCAAGTTATAAAAATAAATAAATACATAAATATCGATGCATCAGTGTTTTTAAATTTACTCTAAATTAACAGTGGGAATTGTAGTTGGCTCCTAATTGTCATCCTTATTAACGCCTTAAAGGAAACCAAGATGATTATTAACTCCTGCATCTTATTGGCTAGATTAACTACGGCCTGGCTAATTAAATATAGTTATTCATCTTGCTCAAGGATGGGGAGGTGCTGGGAACATACCAGAGACCTTAGGATAAGGGCCATACAGACAAGAGCCTGTTTGCACAGCATATTTCACAAAACCAGATCCCAGTACAACTTGCTTGAATAATTTCTGTAGGCCAAGACGGAGCATTACTGCAATCGTTAGCGTATCTTCACGTCAGTCCTTTCCTTCTCTTTTGAAATGAGGTATCAGACAAGTTTGAGGAAATATCAGGAAGGCCGGACAGGCAGATAACCAGCTTCCTTCAGATTTGAAATACGAAAGCACACACATCATCAAGCCATCTGCTACTGGGCTGTCTGTCCAAGGTTTCCAGGCAGCGCCTGAGCATCCCCACTGTGCCAGCTTGCTCACAGGTCCAGCGATTCCAGGAGAGCATCCTCCAGCCTGCAGCTCAGTCATTGAGAAAGGTGTTGCAAAAAAGGTGACAGCAAACCCAGAAGTTTGCGTACAGCACCTGAAGTGCTTTCCAGCAAAGCCAAAAATGCTGAATATTATCATCCATGCTTTCCTTGAGCCTCAACCTCAGCTGTCACCGAGCTCTGTCCTGTGTGCAGGGCCAGGTTAGGTCCAAGATGTAATTACAGCAGACTCAAAGATGATCTCTGCTTCTATGATGGAGAACCTACATCAGTGGACAAGGGAAGAGCTATGGATGTCATCTATCTGGACTTCTGCAAGGCCTTTTGACATAGCGCCCTACAACATCGTGCTCTCTAAATTGGAAAGGTATGGATTTGATGGGTGGATTGTATGGTGGATGAGGAATTGGTTGGATGGTCGCATCCAGAGGGTAGTGGTCAACGGCTCAATGTCCAGATGGAGATCCGTGACAAGTGGTGTCCCTCAGAGGTGTATACTGCAACCAGTACTGTTCAATATCTTCATCAATGACTTAGCCAGAAGGATCGAGTGCACCCTCAGCAAGTCTGTGGATGACATGAAGCTGTGTGGTGCGGTTCACACATCTGAGGGACGGGATGCCATCCAGAGGCACCTGGACAAGCTTGAGAAGTGGACCCATGTGATCCTCATAAGGTTCAACAAGGTGAAGTGCAGGGTCCTGCACCTGGCTTGGGGCAACCCCGATATCTACACAGGCTGGGGATGAAGGATGGAGAGCGTCTCTGCTGAGAGGGTCTTGGGGGTACTGGTGGATGAAAAGCTGGGCATAAGTTGACAACGTGCACAGGCAGCCCAGAAAGCCCCCGGCATCCCGGGCTGCATCCCCAGCAGCGTGGCCAGCAGGGCGAGGGGGGATTGTGCCCCTCTGCTGCGCTCTGCTCTGGGGAGACCCCCCTGCAGTGCTGCCTCCAGCTCGGGGGGTCCCACCAGCAGAAGGAGATGGAGCTGTTGGAGCGGGGCCAGAGGAGGCCCCGGAGATGCTGGGAGGGCTGGAGCCCCTCTGCTGGGAGGACAGACTGGGAGAGTTGGGGGGCTTCAGCCTGGAGAAGAGAAGGCTCCGGGGAGACCTAATTGCAGGTTCCAGTACTTAAAGTGGCCTTGTAAGAAAGATGGGGACAAATTTTTTAGCAGGGCCTGTTGCGATAGGACAAGGGGGAATGGCTTTAAACTCAAAGAGGGGAGATTTAGACTAGATAGAAGGAAGAATTTTTTTATGCTGAGGGTGGTAAGCCCCTGGCCCAGGTTGCCCAGAGACGTGGTAGATGCCCCAGCCCTGGAAACATTCAAGGTCAGGTGGGACGGGGCTCTGAGCAGCCTGGTCTAGTTGAAGATGTCCCTGCTCATGGCAGAGAGGTTGGATCAGATGACCTCTAAATGGCCATTCCATTCCATTCCATTCCATTCCATCTGGAGAAAGTCCTTATTAAATCGGGAAATGCAGGAGGGCAACACCACCGTGGTTCACCTCTCCATGAGCAACCTGAGTAAGAGGACCTGTGTCCTCCAGACGGGGTGTAGGGGGAGTTCTGAGCAGGTCCATTTCATGAATTTAAAGACAGAACTTCCAAATGAGCTGATCTGGACTAACATTGATCTGGCCACATATTTTAAGCATGAAAAACAATTCTACATAGATTTCTACCACTTAATGCATTTTTCCCGTTGTTCACTTCAGCCTGGCAGTTACTGACTAGCACGCTGCAAGGGACATGCAAGTTTGCTCAGACACTGCCTTTATGCTTATTTCCATTTCTAAAACTTATTATCGTTATAGATTTTCTTTAATGACTGAGGAAAAAAATACATGAAACCAGATTGTAGAGTTGCTTTGATAATTTTGTGCGGTTTTTGGCCTAAACTTTGTGGGGCAGCATGAGAAAGAGTCAAAACAATTTGGGTTTTGCTTTGGTGTTTTTTTTTGTTCCTATCTAAAGCAAAATACATACCATAGCTTTTGGTTTTTTAATTCCTGATATTATTTGAAAAGCTGTTATATTAACCTTTTTTGAAACCTGCACTGTGTTTAGTTACATTTAGAAACTATACACAATATACAATTAAGCTCTGCAGCAGAGAAACTAATACACAACCATCCACATGACATGATTTGCTGCTATTCACACATGGGGAGTATTGTTTTTTAAACTTTTGTCAAAATACTTCTCTCTACAAAATTCAAAAACTTTATAAGGTTTACACTGAAGAACATATTTCATCTAATTTTATTAAAACAGAAAAGATTAAACTGTAAGAACTGAGTCAAAACTGTGCTATAGAAATAAACATTAGAAATCCCCAAGGCCGTCTCCATGAAATCTTGGCATAAATTTAGCTAAATGGTTGTAGCAATTCCAGTGCTACCTTTTTAGAGAAATACAGCCCTACTGTAGAAAAGTACTCGTACTGCAGCACTTATCCTGTCAGCTGCACCAATGTGGATTCCCCTCCTGATCATTTCCAAAATCTAGGTTTGAGGTATGCCCCAGGTAACAAATTCATTGCATTTGTATTTTCAAAAACGTCTGCAATGTAAACAGAGGGAGGAATTATCTCTCCGAGATTTGCAGACACGCCTTGCCCTCCCGAGTCTCCAGTTTCAGCCAGCTACCGGCAACGTGCAACTTCAGGAGCACATTTTATTAACACCTAGATTTTTTTTTTCTCTCCCGTTTGCTACTGTTTTCATGAAACGCTACGCTTTCTGGGATAGAAATCATCTCCTTGCATCACACACGTTGCATCTAGGCAGCGTGGCCCAAAGTGGGCAAAGCCTGAACTGAGTCCTGCAGAGTCGCAAGGGCTTGCCCAGCTCTGCTGAACTGCGTAAAAACAGCAAGAGCAATACTCCCTGTTACTGAGGGGTGGGCTGCCGGGGTAATAAATCATAATCACTGACCAGTCTAACAGTAATAACTGTCTATTATCTTTACTGTGATTGATGAATGAATGCAAGATAAATTGCCCCTCATTCTGGGATAAAATTTTCATTCCAGAGATAGGGTATGTTATTTGGCAGCAAATATTTATCTAGAAACACCACCTTTATTTCACTGCTGTTCAATGAAAATAAAAGAAAGTTCTGTTCTAATTCTAACTGTGTAGAACTGTGCCATTCAAAAGCATGGGGCATTTCTACAGAGCACAGAAATGTCTCAACAGTATTATGGAAATAATCTGTATAAATTTTTCCCTGCTCAAGTAGTATCTTCACTAACACTCTTACTCAAGCCCCTGGGCTTTCATCCAACAAGCTCAGAATTCAAATTACTCTGATGCTCCCCAAATCCTTTGGCAGTCAAATAGCTGCAATTTGCCAATAATCTTCTCAACTGAAGGACCAAAAATGATGAGAACTGACCTTCTTTAATCACTGCCCGGCCTTAGACTACTACATGTTCAAGACATCTTTCTAGATGTGTGCAAAAAATCTAGAACTTGACTGAGTTTAAAAACCAATTATAAAGCCTAAAATATGGTTCTCTGAAGTAGTAATCATAGAATATCTCAAGTAGGAAGGGACCCATAAGGATCATTGAGTCCAACTCCCACGACATTTCGAATTGTTGCCTTACACATGACATGTGATACACAATGCAGCCAGGCGTTAGACTCGGTCTCGAGCAATAGGGAAATTAGACCGATAAAAGCCATAAAGGAGCATTACTGTCAATTAAGAAAAAAACCCACATACACTCTTTTTAAATGGCTTTGCTCCAACCTGTAGGGCTTCCATTTGGTTTTCAGAATCTTTTTCCTAATTTTTTCAGAAACCACAGATCCATTAGTGTACCCTGTTTCTTCTAAAACCTTGTCTTCTTTTTCTCCACCCCTGTTGTCCATGAGCTCCTCTGCAACGTGTTACAAGCCTGGCCTGAATCTGCTCATCCTCCAATCTAAAACTCAGCATCTAAAACATTTTAGAGGTATTCCATGCCTTCTGATTGCTTTTTGTTGACTTCCAAAGTCCTATCTTCTTATACACCCAGCTAGTTTTAAGTGTATTTATTTTGTTAATAACTTTTACTAATCTGCAGTTGTTCGTTTGACATGTGCCTGTACCTAATGTGTGGTTTGTTTGAGACTGACACTTAATTTCTTAGCAGATGGGATATTAAAGGCCCACCCAGTTTAGGCAGGTAGCAGCTTTTTTTTCCCACAGAGCAGCTGTTATGATATATGTTTGGAAATATTTTACATGCTGCTGTATCACACTCTTCTCCCTTTGCTCTTCCACAGAGGTGGGAATGCAATGAAGTAGATAGACAGAGGCTATCTCGCTTGTCAGATGGAAAAGGCAGTTTGAGTGCAGAATGAACTAACGTGCAAAAACGCTCAGCAAAGACTTGCCCTAATTCATCCACAGCGAAAATATGTTGCTTGCAGCTGCAGGGCTCATGGAAAACACAATGAACAGAAACAATCTGCACAAGACAATAACAGCTTGAGTGTGATGTGATGGATGGTTTGCATGCATGCATGACACGAAACATTCTCCAAAAATAAAAAA